CATCGGGTTGATTTGAACATGTACTAATAGTTTGTGGCAGTTTTGATGGTTGGGTTGTAGTTACAGAAGATCCTGTTGGTAGTTTTCTGGCCTCTTTTGTTCTATGATGCCCACTCTGCTTCTCTATGTTTGTTTCCATCTGTGCTTGTAATGATAGCACTTTCGTCTAGGACTTTAAATAGTAAATATAAAAGAATTCGTTAATCATTGTATCCGTTGGTTTGAAAATAACTACAAATGGGAAATAATTAAGTGCAATTGTTTAAAGTAGGCTGAACGAAAATATTTTTTTAATCAACACCAAAATTTTACGTTCAAAGATGTCACAATTTTGATGTATTTATATATTTAAAAAAAAAGGCTATAATGTATTAAGAAATAAAATATCATGAATAATTTTGCTAGAGCTGACACAGTCTACGCCAAACCAAATGCTGTTGACATTGTTTTGGGGGTGACTCCTTTCCCTTCTTTAGAGTTGCCTACTGAAATCAGATCAATGTAGGTGTTTATTATTATTTTTTTTTTTTTACACAGGATGCATTGTAATGAGCAGTTGTCTGTTTGGCTAATCCTGATCTCAAAAGCTTTCCATAAACAGCAACTTAAAAAAAAACAACCTTTACTCCCTCACTCAAAGCCAATACCTTAAAAAAATAAAAAAGAAAAACACGCAGAAAACAATTTAAGCCTGAAAATAATTCAAAAATGTAATATTTATGGAAGCAATATTATTAAAAGTTACAAATCAAGACAACTTAAAATAATTTTTTTAGTTAAGGCTAAATTTAAATTTATTTTCAGGAAGTTTTAACCTAATTTTCACTTTCGTAAGATAAACATTGATTGACTGTACAGGAACTCGGTGATCGATATTCTCAAAAATACCCTCCCTAATAAAAAAGCTCATAGCAATTTGTATCCAAATCTTTGTACAAATAAATTTTGAATAAAATAAAAAACAAAAAACAACACATTTTGTCATAAACTGTTCACAAACTGTTTATATTTCAAATCATCTTGTTTTTGCTTTTTAAAAAAAAACTGTGTTTAGTTACCGAAAGTACTAAATCACCAGATACATCCCACCCTTAGTAAAGTCCTTACAAAAAAATATCAAAGAATCAAGTTTTTATATTATTTTAACAACAACATCGCACAGGCTTTTATGGTATACACCCTTGCGAGACTACTTACGGCCGTCTCCATTGACAGCTTATTTCCTACATTGGCCAGCAAATTCTCTAACTTGCGGGTGTACATTAATAACTTTCCTTTCTAGACCTAACAATTCACTTGGCCAATAAAATAGAGTTAATTGTTTCAGCATATGACGGCGTAGTCATCACTATGACCAAAGTAAAAGCTGGGTCAGAATCGAGATTTTAACTCGAGACCTTCTGGCTAGCAGCCAAGCTCTCTACCATTCGACCAGGCCGCCCATACCCCCCTCCGTGATAGTGAGTTAGAGCACACCTCCCCTCAACTGCGTTTTCGGGAGCCACTGGTTACATGAAGGCTGTGGTGCCGGGTACGGCCCCAGATTTTAGTTAGTAAATGATTATAGCAGCTCATCGTTTCCTTAGTATATCGCTCTCTTTAAAATAACGTAGGGGCCCTAGTATCACGAGAGTGGCCGGGGCGCCCAATCTCCGCAGGGTCGGATATGATTTAAGTGACATCATATTCATAGTTGGTCGCAATCTTTAAAATGGAATCAAGCGCATCCTCTGGTGCTCTGGCAGGGACGTTTATTGGTCGGTAGTCGGTAAGTTGTATTTGGTTGATTGAGTACCGTTCATTGGTTGGTTTGTAGGTTAGTGGGTTAGTTGTTGCTTGTTTGATAATAGTCGGTAACTGAGTTGGCTAAATTTAACTTTATAACTTACATTTGTGTCGTCCTATCCTATTTGTCTTAGGTCCTCTTGTTGATAGTTGATGGTCCTCGACAGATGAAACACATAGCGACAGAGTCCTGAAAACAAGTTCTGAGCCCACTAACTTTACTAATCCACATACAGAAAACACACAGTTTCACAAAACTATTTGGAACAAAACCAAATAGAAATCTAGTGCTAACATGATTCAATAACGAACAAGCACTTTCATTTTTCAATATTCAACACAACCAGTCAGTTAGTTTTTTTTCTGAAATTTAAATCGCACATAAACATACTATATCGCGGGATTGGAAAAGTGTACTAAGTTCCATTACTCTCACTCTTGCTGTGCTACCAGTTGTTCCCCTTTCCATTCTCCTATCCGTACAACACTGAACACTAGCTCAGCCCGAGTGAACACGCTAACACACATTGTTCTAGTACTAGCTGCTGTACTACACCCATCAAACATGTACACACCTCACACAATTTTACTACACACTGTTTACACCAAGCCCTTTAATCTCAAATGCCTTCATAACACACAAACTTATCTATAGTTATCAGACAACACTTTAAATGCATTAATATATTATTTTCCTAGCTTTGATCTCTCTAATCTTTTTTCATCGTTCTTTATTGTAATGTTGAACGGAACATCTCCCAACACAAACTACAAGGCAGCAGTTTTGGATTTTGGATTTTTTCTCTCACAGAAGGGTCGCTGTCCACATCTATCGCAGTGTTTCTTCCAGATTTTTCTCCGGGGGGGGGGGGGGGGGGGGTGGTGCACTTGATATTTTCGGGGGGGGGGGGGGGCGGTCAACATTCTCTGTGGGGGAGGGGGGGGGGGTCGGACACTGGTAAAAGTATATGTTTTCTATTTAAATTCCATTTCGCTCGGGGGGTGGGGCCCACGAAGAGATGCCTGGAAGAAAATCTGATCAATAGAGCCTCATCTGACCGGGTTTCGAACTCGTACTTTTCGCTTCAGTAACCACGAGCATTACCGATTTCTTAAATAAGTTCCTTATATTTTATATCACATGAATCGACTTTTCGAAGTTTATGGGCTATAACTTTTTGAAAGTTTAATGAAAGAAGTTATAAATTTAACACGTTTCAATTGCTATCATTCTGATTGTATTGATAACAAATGTAGGTGAAACGTTTTTAATTTCTAATTTCCAAATGTTCATATAAGCGTTTTATTTAAACAACACACAATTAACTACATCAACAGAAAAAAAGCAACACCATTATTAACTGAGTGTTTATATAAGGGTATATAACTTATATAGGCTGATTATGTCGATAATATTAGAGTTGCCTCGCTTTACAGAGTCTGTAAATAAAATTGCTGCGGTAAACATTACTTTGGGAGTTGTATTTAAATGACAACACATTACATCAGTGTAATTGGGGGTTAGGTATGTGTGTGTGGGGGTGGGGGGGGGGGGGTGAGGGGGGGGGGCGTTATTGGACGTGTATGTCCTGTTATGATATGGGAATGTCTGCGGTTTCTGTGAGTGTAGCATCACAATTTTGCATTTTAAAAGATATTTTTAACTGAGTTTTGTTAGTAAAGTTGTATATTCGCTCAGATGTTTTGTGATTGTAATACAATTTGATCGATATTTCATGAATAATTTAGATAGACAACACCTTTTAAAAATATTAAGATGTGAATCTATAAGTAAGGCACATGTGTAATATTTTTTTTATGTGGGTGAGTTGGCTTGCTAATTTTTGTTGATGTAACGATATTCAGAAATGGGTTTTAGATGACTTGACCATAACTGGTTTGATCACATGATTTTTTATTATAATAATAAACTGTCATTGACTGTTTGAATTTATGCTTTTAAAGATTTAGTTTAGTTTTCCGAAAATGTTAAAACGCGAAATACATACAATCTTTAGTAAAGTCCGATAAAAAACTCACAACACAGTTTTTATAGCCACATTTATTATAATGAAACCGCACGAGATTTTTAAAATGTTTACTAAATTATTCCTGAATGTTGCGTCAATGAAACTTTTAACAAGTTATACACAAGGTACTTGACAATATCGATTGGTGTTTTATAAAATACGAGCCCATACGCGGTGTAGCATACGCTGCTATTTAGCTGTTTTCTATTTTCTACTTTTCAATAATTCATAATCTGTGAATTCGACACTACCAATGTTGCGGCTGAAAATATTTTGCTTTAAAACATTATCCTCACTCTCTCACATGAAAGCAGCCGTCCGTGACGACAGTTTACAGACGACAATGTTAACCGCCCCCCCTCCCCACTTAGTTTCAAAATGTTTAAAAACCAAATTTTCTTCCCCCAATAGCCGTCACTAATTCTAAAGTTTATAGCATCAAGGCAAATAATGTCTTAAACCTATGTTTAAAATGTCGTTCTCCTAACTGAAATCATACTCGAGTTATCTGTATTTTAGAAATCAGAAATAGAATCCGGATTCGTACTCGAGACTTACGGGTTAGAAGTCTAGCTCTCTACCGCTAGGCCACGCCATCCCATACAAATAGGCCTACAAATAAGGTGTGCGTATATATACCACCTACTAAGCGTTTACAGCTTGTGACTGCTTGCTGTAACTAGATCTAACTAGACTTATTGATTTAGCTGCTTTACTTCCAGAAATATAAGCACCATTTTGCACCCGTACTTTCCACACAGCAAAATATTTTAAGAACATTTAATATGCCATTACACATAAAGCAAGGATAATTTCTATAGCACTTTCAGATGCAGTAAAAAGTAGGTGTGTGTTTTTCGAATTGTATAACTAATGTGTGAGACCAAAGCTTACTTTAATTAAAATTCTTAAACAGTGTTTTACAGTCGAAACCTTCAAGACAATACTAAAATGTATTTATATCGCGGAATGTGTCCCTGTTAAAGTTTAACTAACTAATTTAGTTGGGGTAGCTCTCAAGAACCACCGGTTACACTACCGCAGGGGCGCCGGTCACGGTCCCCGGTTCGGTTTCATCATTGTATGTCGTGTGCCACCGTGTCCCTATTTTAGGTACTAAGATAGATCTACTGATTTTTATCTCTACAACTGAATCAACGGTACCCTATTTGAATGAAATATTTGTTCACATTTTCATTTCATTGTTGATTCGATGAAATTGTATCCTTAGGAACCCACCTAGATCTAGGCTATTATAAATCTTACTAAAGAAAAATTTAAAAACAACTACTCGCCTGTCACGCAACAGACTTTGCAGCTAGCTTGATAAACAATTGTTCTGTCATGATAACATTACTAGTGCCCTGATCTGGGCCTCTATTCATGGGTATGATCATACACTGTTTAATTTCTAGAGCAGGCTTCTTATTCATGCAGTAGAAGAGAAAAATTATATTTACCGAAATAGACGTAATATCCATATCTAGACACTATCCAAACTTCAAATTTAAAATAAGGTTTAATTTGCATAACGTTAAGCTTTGTTTTCGGCAAAATTTATTCTTAGTAGTGTTTGTAATTCAATTGGCCACAGTACATTTTATTTGATAATTTAAACCATAACGTTCGTAAAAAAAAAACAAAATTAAAAATTTGGAAAAATGGGGTTTATTCATCCATTATATGAAAAGCGTATTCACTAGTAGATTTTCTTTGGTATTATTTCATTCAATCTTGTAAGTTAAACTTAAATAAAATTACAATATGGTCTGGTGATATTGCATTTTGAAACAGAAGACATTTTTTTCTACCAATATCATTGAAGACTCAACAGGTTTCCCAACTTCCGGTCACGATGACATCCAGGAGGCCAGTCCAACCCTCGGCCCCTACAGACGACCAACCCCCCAGCTATGGTTGGCACCCTACGGTCCTTACAGACAACCAACCCCCTAGCTATGGTTGGCAACCTACCACACCTACCGATGACCCTCCGGTGAATTACGGTTGGCAGCAGTCAGTTGTGACACAGCCACCATCAGTTCTGCAACGAGATGTATCCCAAAGGCTGCCACCCCCACCCCCGCCCATGCCCCAAGCAAACGGTAAATTTTTCGTCTTCTAATGTTTTTTCGTTTTTGTCGTTGTTAAAGAAATGGGAGTCTGAGTGTTGACGGTGGTACGGGTCTGCTAGTGAAAACAAAGGTCGTTGTCTGGGGGTGTCTATAATAGACGTTTCGCTTTCTTTGAGCTCAGGTTCACCCCCCCCCCCCAACGCCTCATCATCCCCAGTAGCAGAGGCGTAGCGAGGGGGGGACGGGCGGGGGGGGGGGACATATGTCCCCGGGCGCTGACCTTAGGGGGGCGCCAAATTGAAAGTTTGAGGGGGGTGCAAATGAAAAGTTCGAGGGGGGGGGGTGCAAATCAAAAGTTTGAGGGGGGTGCAAATGAAAGGTTCGGGGGGGGGGTGCAAATCAAAAGTTTGTCCCCGGGCGCCGGGAAGGGTCGCTGCGCCTGTGCCCAGTAGTCAGACCCCTGTACATTGACGACAAAAAATAGAAATTTCCTCCAACATAATGATGCTCCACAGCTATTGTAGGAGAGACAGCTCTAAAATCAAACAACTGCTGCCTTGTAGTTTGTTCTTGGATGGACAAAGGCTATGGAAGCAAATCCAAATAGAAAAGCAGGTTGAAATCGGAGTCAACGGTGCATAAAAAGTTGACACGTAATACTTTATTGTGTTGGAGAGAACCCTTACCAACATTAGAATTAGGAACGAAGAAGAAGAAGAACGAGAGAGGGTGAAAGAGACCGAGTGGGAGAGTGTGTGAGTGAGAGAGACTGAATGGGAAAGTGTGTGAGAGAGAGGCAGAATGGGAGAGGGTGTGAGAGAGAAAGACTGATTTGGAGAGAGTGTGAGTGAGAGAGACTGAATGGGGGAGAGTGTGAGTGAGAGAGACCGAATGGGAGTGTGTGAGTGAGACAGACCGAGTGGGAGAGTGTGTGAGGGAGAGACTGAATGAGAGAGTGCGTGAGAGAAAGACGGAGAGAGAGAGAGTTAGAGAGATAGAGAGTAACGAGTTCCCTGCGTGTGTCTTAGATCCCTGGATGGCGCGGGTGGGGCCCATGGCATGGTGTCCCCCGGGGCTGGAGTACCTGACCCAGCTGGACCAGGTCATCGTCAAGCAAGACATCGAGGTCTTGGAACGTGAGTACACCTTGTCACGTGATATCTTATGTCCTTAGATAATCATAACGAAAACTAAGTTAAAATAAAACTTGTATTTGAAGTATGTACTATCCAAATGGGTCTACGACAAATTCCCGAAAGACACTTGCCCGAATGCCGTTTGCCCGAAGGCCGATTACCCGAATGGACACTTGCCCGAATGCGACAAATGCCCGAATGGACACTTGCCCGAATGCGACAAACGCCCGAATGGACACTTGCCCGAATGCGACAAATGCCCGAATGGACACTTGCCCGAATGCGACAAACGCCCGAATGGACACTTGCCCGAATGCGACAAATGCCCGAATGGACACTTGCCCGAATGCGACAAATGCCCGAATGGACACTTGCCCGAATGCGACAAATGCCCGAATGTCACTTGCCCGAAGGCCGTTTGCCGAAAAATGTTAACATTATATATTACTAAATAATCATTCGTAATCAATTTCAATTTAAAATGTTGGTAAGTAAAACACATCTACGCAAAAAAGAAAGTGAAAAAAAAATATTATATATTACCACGCAGATATTTTAGATTAATTTGTATTTGATGTTTAAAAAGTGTAGAAACATACTTTCTCTTCCATATATGAAATTAGACAAAAATACAATTTTCATTCATCTCCGGATTGTAAAATGAGTTTTGCTTTCTTTATTAAGTAATCGCTTCAACACATTGTCTTAACAAGGTGCATTAAATGGAAATCAAACATATTTGACTACGTTTAGTTTTGAAATTTGCCACCTAGACCTCGCCTCATTCTTTTGTTAAATGATCACCACCCATGTTAAGCATAATAAGATAAACAAACAAACGCGCTTCTGTTCAATGTTGTGAGACGCCGCGCCGCCTACGCCGTGTAATAAAAGCTATATAACCACCGCAACACGTCGGCTAAACAAGGTGTTCAAAACTTTTATCAAAAGAATGATAGAACACCGCCGCCAACATTACCTTACATTTATTAAAGATTAAAGTTTTTCTTACTGCACATTCTCGGTTTTGAAAAAAAAAATAAAAGCTAAATTTAAAAATATAGAAAAATTTGTTTTATGCTTAGAATTGTGTTTATAATCAAAATTTCAAACTTAAATTGATTAAAGAATGTCTATTTGGAAATAATATTTATTATCTAATATTTACATTTTTCGGGCTAACGGCCTTCGGGCAAGTGCCATTCGGGCATTTGTCCCATTCGGGCAAGTGTCCATTCGGGCATTTGTCGCATTCGGGCAAGTGTCCATTCGGGAAATCTGCCTTCGGGCAAACGGCATTCGGGCAAGTGTCTTTCGGGAAAACGTCCGGCTCCCTATCCAAATAGATGAAATTTTAGGAATCCAAAAAAATAATTAACGAACCATGTTGAAACGTTGTATCAAGTAAAGACAAGTAAATCAGTCACAATTAGGGATAATGGCCCATCCCTTGCTATCAAAAGCTAACAAATGTTTCCCTGTACAAACAAATTGGCTTATACAAAACACGATTCCATTAAAAATATACCTACACACATCCAGCAATGGTCCTAAATTCTCCTTTTTACTTTCTCGTATATACGAAGTATAGAGAAAGTCTTGTAATCGTGCATAAAAAAAAAATCGAGATTTTTAAAAATCTCGACGTTTTACATCTCACTGATTCGGAAAAACATAATTTTGCAATCTTGTCCGTATGTCTGTGTGTCTGTGTGTCTGTGTGTCTCTCTCTGTGTGTGTGTGTGTGTGTAAACACGATAACGTGAGTACCGTTACAGCTAGGTTGATGAAATTTCATATATAAGTATTTTATCAAAATCGTAGATCCGTTTCAACGTTTGAGCGATTTCCGATAACCGGAAGTGGTATTTTTTCTACTTTGAATTTTTCAAAAGCCTATAACTTGAGTACTATTTCAGATAGATAAATGAAATTTCACATGTAAGTAAAAGATCTAACTCTCTTCGTTCTGTCAAATTTTGAATAATTTCCGTTGACCGGAAGTACTAATTTACGCTATTTCCGATTTCTCAAAATCGCATCAAAATGTATAAAGTACTAATAATATTGCGCACCATTATGAACATCTTTATTCGGCGTTCGTTTGGTGCGCAATACTTTTTTCTATGAGATTCTATTCTATTTTAAAAAGTTTAAGTATTTAAAATGGATTAAAAATCATAACTATATCCCGAGTTCCCATCACCTGTTGTTTTATATAAGAATATTCGAGAAAGTTTAGGGGAGATCACTCCCGGTTTATTTACTTTCTCGTATATACGAAGTATAGAGAAAGTATTGTAATCGTGCAAAAAAAAAAATCGAGATTTTTACAAATCTCGACGTTTTACACCTCACTGATACGGAGAAGCATAATTTTGCACTCTTGTCCGTATGTATGTGTGTGTGTGTGTTTGTGTGTGTGTCTGTCTGTCTGTCTGTCCGTGTGTAAACACGATAACTTGAGTACCGTTACAGCTAGGTTGATGAAATTTCATATATAAGTATTTTATCAAAATTGTAGATCCGTGTTAACTTTTGAGCGATTTCAGATAACCGGAAGTGGTACTTTTTCTACTTTGAAATATTCAAAAGCCTATAACTTGAGTACTTTTTAGGATAGATAAATGAAATTTCACATGTAAGTAATAGATCTAAATCTCTACCTTCTGTCAAATTTTGAGTAATTTCCGTTGACCGGAAGTACTAATTTACGCTATTTCCGATTTCTCAAAAAAAAACGCATGTAAATTTATAAAGGACTAATAATATTGCGCACTATTATGCACATTTTGTTTTGGCGTTCGCTTGGTGCGCAATTCTTTTTTCTATGAGATTCTATTCTATTTTTAAAAGTTTAAGTAATTAAAAATTATGTCTATATTCCAAGTTATATAAGAATATTCGAGAAAGTTTAGGGGAGATCACTCCCGGTTTATTAAAACATGCATTTGACTTGACCGATTTATTACACTGCATTTTTACTTTCTCGTATATACGAAGTATAGAGAAAGTATTGTAATCGTGCACAAAAATCATTTGAAATTTTAACAATTTTCACCGTATTACACCTCAGTCCTTCATCACATCCGAAGTATAGAGGACTTATTTTAATCGGGCAAAAATTATCAATCCAGATTTATCAATATTAAGAGGTTTTATGCGTAATCCAGTCTGAAAAACTGGGCTTTGCAATTCTGTCCGTATGTCTGTGTGTCTGTGTGTCTGTCTGTCTGTCCGTGTGTAAACACGATAACTTGAGTACCGCTACAGCTAGGTTGATGAAATTTCATATATAAGTATTTTATCAAAATCGTAGATCCGTATCAAGTTTTGAGCGATTTCCGATAACCGGAAGTGGTACTTTTTCTACTTTGAATTTTTCAAAAGCCTATAACTTGAGTACTATTTCAGATAGATAAATGAAATTTCACACGTAAGTAAAAGATCTAATTCTCTACCTTCTATTAAATTTTGAGTAATTTCCGTTGACCGAAAGTAGTAATTTACGCTACTTCCGATTTCTCAAAAAACTAATGTAAATTTTTAAAGTACTAATAATATTGCGCACTATTATGCACTTTGTTTATTAGGCATTAACTTGGTGTGCAATTCTTTTGTCTACTAGATTTTATTCTATTTTTAAAACTTTAAGTGTTCAAAATGGATTAAAAATCATGTCTATAGCCCGAGTTCCCATCCCCTGTTGTTTTATATAAGAATATTCGAGAAAGTTTAGGGGAGATCACTCCCGGTTTATTTAAAAGATATCAAAACTTCTTGTTGACACAATATGTTGAAAAAAAACTAACGTATACAAATAAAGATCTTTTTATAAGAAGATTTTCCTAAATTACAAAACAGTTCTAAAAAATATAAACACATTAACCTGCAAGTCCTTTAAACATCAAAACGTTTATTTTCATGACAGTATTGTTCGGCGTTGAGACAGAAAACTCGTACAAGATTTTAAACAGAGAGAACCAACAATGTTACAAGGCCCTAGAAGGTAGACCAATAACCTGTATCATTAGCTAGGGTTCGGCGTGGCCGAGTCGGTAAAGCGCGTGGTTGCTGCACTCCAAAATCAAACAACTACTGCTTAGCAGTTTGTTCTAGGTTGGAGAAAGGCTACGAAAGCAAATCAAAAAAGAAAAACAGGCTGAAATCTGAGACAATAGCCTCAATAGCGCATAACTAGCTGACACGTATACTTAATTGAGCTGGAGGGGATCCCTTCCAACACTAAGATTAAGAACGAAGAAGAAGATTAGCTAGTTTATGTATGTGATAGCGTTACGGAGGTCAGCACTATGCCCACCGGTCTTTGTTTTGCTAACGTGAGTCAGGTACCCATCAGGGTTTGGTGGACTCAAGGAACTCTACAGACTCAAAACCATGAATCCGAACTCGAGTCTTTCGAGTTAGCAGTCTAGCACTCTTCAGCTCGGCCACGCTCTCCTACAGTTCGTAAAATAGAGGCAATTATATTTTTTGACACAAATTATCCTTGGCAATTACATCGTTTTGTTTCGTAATTTAATTTGTTAAAATTCTTAGTAATATTTACATCGAAAGTATGAAGAGACCTATTTATTTTTAATAATTTTGTTAAGTTTTTAAAGTTAAAATTTGTTATTTAAATAAAAAAAACAAATAAAATTATTTTTGTCGTAATTTATTTTCAGAATCCGGATTTTTAGCTCGCCAATTTTGTGGTAATAAACGCGGCTTCAAGATTTTTATTCGGGATAATTTTAATCAGGTATGAAAACAGACTTTGTTATAATCAAACAGTTAGTGCAGCTATAAACATGTCTATTCACCGTGAAGCTTAGCTGCGCTTAGATGAGCTTTGGGAGCTCACCACAACTACAAAATCAGCAACACGCACTGTGTAGTCGGCCATTTATCTGTCTTGAGAGAGTCACGTATTGAGACATTCAGTGTCTTGAGACAGTTACATATTGAGACATTCAGTGTCGTGAGTCTATTTTTTACTTAGAAACCGTCATTTACTTGAGACAGCCACTTACTTGAAATATTTTCTGTTTTTTTAAAGACAATCCCTTTCTTAACACAATACCTTCTTAAGACAATCACTTTTTTAAGACATCCACTTTCTTGATGCAGTCACTATCTCTCAAATTTCTTGAGACTGTCCATTTCTTGAGACAATCACTTCCTTGAGATCGTAAGTGTCCTTAGATTTGTTTTGATACAGTCACTTTCATCAAACAATGAATTCGAGATTGGTGCACTGGACTGTTATCAATTTGTCTCGGCCATTCAAATTTTACCATTTTCACTCGTGTCTTAGACTTTCATCAAACTGTATAGGCCATTTAAATGTTACCATTCTACCATTTTGACTCCAGCCTTAGACTTCCATCAAACTGTATTGGTCATTCAAATTTTACCATTATAACTTGTGTCTTAGACTATCATCACCCTGACTCGACCGTTCAAATTTTACCATTATAACTCGTGTCTTAGACTGCCATCAAACTGTATCAGCCATTCAAATTTTACCATTTTAACTCGTGTTTTAGACAGTCATCACCCTGACTCGACCGTTCAAATTTTACCATTATAACTCGTGTTTTAGACGGTCATCATCCTGACTCGACCGTTCAAATTTTACCATTATAACTCGTGTCTTAGACTGCCATCAAACTGTATCAGCCATTCAAATTTTACCATTTTAACTCGTGTTTTAGACAGTCATCACCCTGAACCGACCATTCAAATTTTACCATTATAACTCGTGTCTTAGACTGCCATCAAACTGTATCAGCCATTCAAATTTTACCATTTTAACTCGTGTTTTAGACAGTCATCACCCTGAACCGACCGTTCAAATTTTACCATTATAACTCGTGTCTTAGACTGCCATCAAACTGTATCAGCCATTCAAATTTTACCATTTTAACCCGTGTTTTAGACGGTCATCATCCTGACTCGACCGTTCAAATTTTACCATTATAACTCGTGTCTTAGACTGCCATCAAACTGTATCAGCCATTCAAATTTTACCATTTTAACTCGTGTTTTAGACAGTCATCACCCTGACTCGACCGTTCAAATTTTACCATTATAACTCGTGTCTTAGACTGCCATCAAATTGTATCGGCCATTCAAATTTTACCATTATAACTTGTGTCTTAGACTATCATCACCCTGACTCGACCATTCAATTTTTACCATTTTAACTCGTGTCTTAGACTGCCATCAAACTGTATCGGCCATTCAAATTTTACCATTTAACTCGTGTCTTAGACAGTCATCACCCTGACTCGACCATTCAAATTTTACCATTTTAACACCTGTCTTAGACTGCCATCAAACTGTATCGGCCATTCAAATTTTACCATTTTAAACTCCTGTCTTAGACTGCCATCACCCTTCTCAGACTTTCAAATTTTACCATTTTAACTCCTGTCTTAGACTGTCATCACCCTGACTCGACCGTTCAAATTTTACCATTATAACTCGTGTCTTATACTGCCATCAAACTGTATCGGCCGTTCAAATTTTACCATTATAAGTCGTGTTTTAGACTGTCATCACCCTGACTCGACCGTTCACATTTTACCATTTTAACTCGTGTCTTAGACTGTCATCAAACTGTATCGGCCATTCAAATTTTACCATTATAACTCGTGTTTTAGACTGTCATCACCCTGACTCGACCGTTCAAATTTTACCATTTTAACTCGTGTTTTAGACTGTCATCACCCTGACTCGACCATTCAAATTTTACCATTTTAACTCGTGTTTTAGACTGTTATCACCCTGACTCGACCGTTCAAATTTTACCATTTTAACTCGTGCCTTAAACAGTCATCACCCTGACTCGACCGTTCAAATTTTACCATTTTAACTCGTGTCTTAGACTTCCATCAAACTGTATCGGCCATTCAAATTTTACCATCTCGTGTTTTAGACTTCCATCAAACTGTATCGGCCATTAAAGATTTACCATTATAACTCGTGTTTTAGACTGCCATCAAACTGTATCGGCCATTCAAATTTTACCATTACAACTCGTGTTTTAGACTGCCATCACCCTGACTCGACCGTTCAAATTTTACCATTATAACTCTAGACTGTCATCAAACTGTATCGGTCAATCAAATTTTACCATTATAACTCGTGTCGTAGACTGTCATCACCCTGACTCGGCCATTCAAGTGCTGCAGCTGTGGCTCTTGCTGCGCGTGTGAAGATATGTGCCAGGACGAGATAGAGGTCACATCAAACGGTTATGTCCTAGGGTCTGTTCGTCAAAAGTAAGTTCAGTTTTTATACTTATCTTCAGGTTTTTTACGTTGATTAAGTCTCCTTTCGGTTTAACTCAAGCATCTAAAATATTATAATTATCGAATGGGTAAAATGTGAAAAAAATAAAATAAAAAATATACCATGTCGTTTTCAAAAAGATTTTTTTTTCTCAGATGTAAATGCATTGTCCTAGTGTTATAGTTATGGAAATCCAGTGCTTACAGAGGAGATATGGTCCAATATTTAACAACGATAGTTAAAAGCTGCGCATGTCATAGTCCTTACCTAATTTGTTGAAAGAAAACTAGTTTACACTGTATATTTCAGCTGGGCATGTTGTAGTCCTACCTAATTTGTTGAAAGAAAACTAGTTTACACTGTATATTTCAGCTGGGCATGTTGTAGTCCTACCTAATTTGTTGAAAGAAAACTAGTTTACACTGTATATTTCAGCTGGGCATGTTGTAGTCCTACCTAATTTGTTGAAAGAAAACTAGTTTACACTGTATATTTCAGCTGGGCATGTTGTAGTCCTAACTAATTTGTTGAAAGAAAACTAGTTTACACTGTATGTTAAGAAACGAGTCATCTGTATGGTTGGTATATGATGGTGATGATGACTGCAGTGAGAGGTTCAAATAAAACGCCAACACAATTTCAGCTAGGCAACTTTAATGGTTACTATTTTTGGTCTTGTCTAACTAGGAAATAAACTTCAACATCAACTAGTGGCCAGCCTTAGGGGCCAGCCCTATCACACATTACAAAACACAAAAAACACGACTACATCCTAGCAAGCCTAACGTTCAACTGTCCTATCTTTCTGGCCCAAGCTTCACCCTTTTGGTTCCTTAACCCCTGCATGACCCCGGCATTCCAGCGAGGGGGGGGGGGGGGGAAGGGCGCCTGCAAATGCTAGGTGGGGCTGATGCATTGTGTCCCAGTTCAGGTGTGGGGGTGGGGGTGGGAAGGGCAGTACACGCTGTCCCAGTTCAGGTGTGGGGCAGGAGGGGGTGGGGTAGATACCAACTAGCGGTGGGACGAGGGAGGTTGGACTCAGTTATAACACTGTATATTTCAGCTGGGCATGTTGTAGTCCTACCTAATTTGTTGAAAGAAAAACAGTTTACACTGTATATTTCAGCTGGGCATGTTGTAGTCCTACCTAATGTGTTGAAAGAAAACTAGTTTACACTGTATATTTCAGCTGGGCATGTTGTAGTCCTACCTAATGTGTTGAAAGAAAACTAGTTTACACTGTATATTTCAGCTGGGCATGTTGTAGTCCCACCTAATTTGTTGAAAGAAAAACAGTTTACACTGTATATTTCAGCTGGGCATGTTGTAGTCCTACCTAATGTGTTGAAAGAAAACTAGTTTACACTGTATATTTCAGCTGGGCATGTTGTAGTCCCACCTAATTTGTTGAAAGAAAAACAGTTTACACTGTATATTTCAGCTGGGCATGTTGTAGTCCTACCTAATTTGTTGTTGAAAGAAAACTAGTTTACACTGTATATTTCAGCTGGGCATGTTGTAGTCCTCTGTTTTCTGTCATGGACCAGCACCAAAACCCACAGTTTGAGATTGTTGGCCCCGTTTGTACCTTCACACTTTTCAATAAATCGATAGAGTTCACGGTGAGTAAAGTTTAGTGTGTGAAGAGTTCAAGGTGAGAAGAGTTCAAGGTGAGCAGAGCTCAAGGTGAGCAGAGATCAAGGTGAGCAGAGCTCAAGGTGAGCAGAGCTCAAGTTAACCAGAGTTCAAGGTGAGCAGTTTAAGGTGAGCAGAGTTTAAGCTGAGCAGAGTTTAAGGTGAGCAGAGTTTAAGGTGAATAGAGTTCAAGGTGAGCAGAGTTTAAGGTGAGCAGAGCTCAAGGTGAGCAGAGCTCAAGTTAACCAGAGTTCAAGGTGAGCAGTTTAAGGTGAGCAGAGTTTAAGCTGAGCAGAGTTTAAGGTGAGCAGAGTTTAAGGTGAATAGAGTTCAAGGTGAGCAGAGTTTAAGGTGAGCAGAGTTTAACGTGAGCAGAGCTCAAGTTGACCAGAGTTCAAGGTGAGCAGAGTTTAAAGTAAGCAGAGTTTAAGGTGAGCAGAGTTTAAGGTGAGTAGAGTTTAAGGTGAGCAGAGCTCAAGGTGATCAGAGTTCAAGGTGATCAGAGTTCAAGGTGATCAGAGTTCAAGGTGAGCAGAGCTCAAGGTGAGCAGAGTTCAAGGTGATCAGAGTTCAAGGTGAGCAGAGTTTAAGGTGGTCAGAGTTTAAGGTGAGTAGAGTTTAGGTGAGCAGAGCTCAAGGTGAGCATTGTTTTCTCAATTTGATTTAAAATGCACAAAGCTTTTAAGTCTCGAGTTCGAATACGGGTTTGAGTCAGTAGAACCTCATTGAGTCCATCCACCTCTCATGGGTACCTAACTCACGTTAAGGAAAGGCAATTGGGCATAGTGCTGACCACACTATCTCTTCATATGCCGAGGTGAACTCTACTTCACTTGCCCAATGGACCGTCACGTTCCAAAGTGGAAGTTTAGATACTAGGTTTCAAGTTGTTTTTTTTTTCCATTTTCCTATGCATGATGTAAAAATAAATATCACGTGATCTAGGAATAATGTACGTTTGTGGTCACAGGTAAACAGAACACAGGACGGAAGGGAGATTGGCGCCATATCAAAATATCGCGGGAACATTGCACGCGAGATGTTTACAGATGCTGACACTTTTGGAGTCACGTGTGAGTGACGTGATACACGACGTGACTGTTTGATACATGACGTGATTTATTGTGATTTGGCTTTATTTGTTGTTATTTGACGTGATGTTTTTGTTTTATGACGTGATTTGCTGTTATTTGGCGTGATTTGTTGTAATTTTTGCGTGATTTGTTGTAATTTTGGCGTGATTTGTTGTAATTTTGGCGTGATCTGGTGTTAATTTATGTGATTAGTTATTTGGGTGATTTTTGGACACCGTGGGTGATTTGACAGTTTAATAGTTGGCCTGACCAGTTGATACATTGTGTGTAAAAGTTTGATACATAAACGAGCCACTTAACGATGAGTTATTTTACTGTGGTATAAAAAAGTGACATAAACCTCACAATATGAAAATTACACTGTTCAACCAAAAAAAATATTAACAACAATAAAAAGTCTGAGCAGGCTTAAAACAGCAGCTTAAATTAAGCTGTTTGTCTGTTTGTCATTGGATGCGTTGAGATAGTTCACTCTTTAATTGAGTTCTTATTGTTTTGAAGCTACTTGTTGGCTTAAAAAGGCATTTCTATAATCTTTTAATTTTATTACATTCTTAGCGAGAGTAGTGGTGAAAAATGTAATTATGTTATTATATATTCTATATTGTATTATATATATGTATATATATATATATATATATATATATATATATATATATATATATATATATATATATATATATATATATATATATATATATATATATATATATATATATATATATATACATATACATATATATTTTGTCTGAGATCATTTGTCCATGGTATCATTTGTCCTGATATATTTTGTCCTGGTATCTTTTGTCCGTGAGATCATTTGTCCTTGAGATCATTTGTCCTGAGATCATTTGTTCTGAGATCATTTGTCCGTGATATATTTTGTCTGAAATATTTTGTCTGAGATCATTTGTCCTGAGATCATTTGTCATGAAACCATATATATATATATAGTGTTGAAATAGCATTGAATCTCTCTACACTATACCGGATTCTACTCTGAGTCGCATTATACCCCACTTATAATATATTTTCCATGCAGTCCCCATTGATTTGGATGTCAGATTGAAGGCTTTACTGCTCGGCTGCGTCTTTCTGATCGTAAGTTTCAAGTACATAGCATATAATGCTTCTTCTGTTATTTAAAGCAGGGCATATAATGCTTCTTCTGTTATCTAATGCGTGGAGTTGAAGTCACCCTTTAATATTTAATGCGTGGGATCCATTACTTCCTCTATAATTTTAATGCGTGGCAGCGTATGTTGGTTTTATTATTCAGTGTGTGTTGGTGAATGTTTCTTTTATGATGTAATGCATGTCGCCGAAAGCTTGAGATAGGAAACAGCACACCAGTAAACAAAATGTAATCACCAAACGGACTCGAGATAGGTAACAGCACACTAAATGTGTAAACTAAATGTAATCACCAAACGGAGAAGAATGTGTAAGAGTTGATTGACAAATGGTATTATGTGTATGTGAAAAATTATTTTTTTAAATTTCGCTGATCTTTTGATAACTGACGGAGTGACGTCATCAAATACACATACACATGCACACACATACACACACACACATACACGCACAAACACCCAAACAAGCGGGTCTAACATCGTTTTAATAACCTGTGTGCATTTAGCAAAGGTAGGGGGCGTAGTTTGAATTGAGCTCAGATTTTATTTTTAAAAGTAATCTTTTTATGGCTTTTAAACATGGGCTGCACAATGATTAGAAGTAATAAGTATCCAGCAAAATTTACTGTTGTGTATTTTGTCGTTGTTCTAATACATGTCTTTTCTATCGCAGGATTTTAAATACTTCGAAGACACCCCGTCAAGAAGAAAAAAACATAGATAAATATATAGTGTTTGTTTAGATTGGACTCGGCACGCTCCACAACTTACGGATGGATGTCACCATGGCTTGCTTTATACAGGATCAATTTATTGTCATCGTATTTTAACACAGTCTATGATTTGCTTCAATTTATACTTTGTTTTTATGAAGCTGAAATAGATGTTAAAATTAATACACTCAACAGTAAAAAAAAAATTCCATCAATATATAATAATATATTACTATTTAAATAAATAACAATAAAGAAAACCGTAGGTTTAATAGATAATATCGTATTTTTTAAAATTATTGGATGGTTTTGTATGTAGGTTATATTTTAAAAGACATCATATTAATTTATAAAATTAAATATTTTCTCTTTACGATTATAAACGTGTTTCTGCAAACAAAACTGTACACATTCTATAAATCCTGGATTCCTATCTCTCAACTACTTTATTCACAAATTATCCTAATTATAAGAAAAGATTTATGGTTAAAAATCATTTATATAAAAAAAATATTTCTAGTTTATTTTATGGAATATTAAAAGTGATAAGGACAAATTACACCGCGGATAAAATACGTTTAAAATATTTCTAGTTTATCAAATGGAGTATTAAATTCAAAGTAATAAAGTTACACCGTGGAGAAAATACTTATGTTTTCACAATTTGTAGAGTTCTTCTGTCTAGGGAACAATGTATTACAACAAAATAAAACCGTATAGCATAATACAATAGACTTGACAATACTAAATGAGATAATAAATAATAAGAATACTGTTTTATGCGTAAAGATAAATAATACAATAATTACGATACAACAATACCCAACACAATCGTCCACAACACATCCATTCACTGTCAACAAACCTCCAACCATCTGACATACTCCTAACACACTAACTGTCACACATCCTGTCACTGCCACACACCAACACACACGTGAACACCGCTCGTCCCAAAACACAACACACAACCAAGGGCTACAACTGTGTAAAAAAGCGGGTACCTGTCATTCAATACACAAAACGCACACACAATCAATGAGGGTATTGGTAAACAGCTTAACACCGTTTGTTTACAACGTATTTAATACTGCTATACTTTCAGCTTTTGGTCAACACACATTCGTTTTCTTGTAAAAATGGCATAAAATTATAAAACTACATAGACTTCGTGTTTTTTTTTTTCAAATGTTTTTATTGTAATAAAATTATAAAAATATATTTTCGGTCTAAATGACTACGTCAAGCTCTGATGCTGTTGTTAGTTTTTAATTGCAATGAGATGTTTTCATACCTTCTAGTGCTAAAATAATATTTTTTTTTCACTGTAACACGACAACCACCGTAGTTTTGATATATTATTATCTATATACATATATGTATATGTATATATATAACTATATATATATATATATATATATATATATATATATATATATATATATATATATATATATATACTAGCTCCTATATATATACCCGTGCTCCTCCACGGTAAATCTTTTTTAAAGGTACCATCTTGGGAACAGAACAAAACAAACACAAACACAACCACAACACAACCACAACACAACCACAACACAACCACAACACAACCACAACACAACCACAACACAACCACAACACAACCACAACACAACCACAACACAACACAACCACAACACAACCACAACACAACCACAACACCACCACAACACAACCACAACACAACCACAACACAACACAACCACAACATAACCACAACACAACACAACCACAACATAACCACAACCACAACACAACCACAACACAACAACAACACAACCACAACACAACCACAACACAACATCACAACCACAACACAACCACAACACAACACAACCACAACACAACCACAACACAACCACAACACAACCACAACACAACACAACCACAACACAACCACAACACAACCACAATACAACCACAACACAACCACAACACAACCACAACACCACCACAACACAACCACAACACAACCACAACACAACACAACCACAACATAACCACAACACAACACAACCACAACATAACCACAACCACAACACAACCACAACACAACAACAACACAACCACAACACAACCACAACACAACATCACAACCACAACACAACCACAACACAACCACAACACAACCACAACACAACACAACCACAACACAACCACAACACAACCACAATACAACCACAACACAACCACAACACAACCACAACACCACCACAACACAACCACAACACAACCACAACACAACCACAACACAACAACAACCACAACACAACACAACCACAACACAACCACAACACAACCACAACACAACCACAACACAACACAACCACAACACAACCACAACACAACCACAACACAACCACAACACAACCACAACACAACCACAACACAACCACAACACAAACACAATACAACCACAACACAACCACAACACAACCACAACACAACCACAACACCACCACAACACAACCACAACACAACCACAACACAACACAACCACAACATAACCACAACCACAACCACAACACAACAACAACACAACAACAAAACAACCACAACACAACCACAACACAACAACATCACAACCACAACACAACCACAACCACAACACAACCACAACACAACCACTACACAACCACAACATTAGAATCACCACCAAACAACACGCTTTCCTAGGCGTCCGCGCCCAAACAGAGCCTTTCCAGCATAAAAAATTTAATATGTTTTAGCAATGTGCGTGTATTAAATATTTACTTTACGTTATGCAAAAGAGTAAAAACAGTGGCAACTATAAAATAACTTTATGTCGTTATATAAACAAACCCTACTCAACTACTTATAACAAGACACTGCGAAGCACTGAAAAGCACTACAAGGTTCGATGTTTACTTTTATGGTTCCAAAATCTATAACGATGAAGGAAGGACTGACACACTACCAGCCCGCTTATATTATAGATACATATATATATATATATATATATATATATATATATATATATATATATATATATATATATATATATATATATATATATATATACATATATATATATATATATATATATATATATATATATATATATATATATATATATATATAAATTCACCACCACCCTCAAGAGATGCCCAAAAGAAACGCTGGTCAAGAGATCCCTATATTATTGATACTAGAGAGAAGACAGAATCTACTCTCGCGAAACTGACCTGATCGACTCAAACGCATTCTGTTTCTTTAATTGCATGCTGCAAACCCAATCGATATCTCACCGTCAAAACCCCAATAGAAAGCTCAGATCAAGACGTAAATAACTGTCAGACATTACTTATCAAAGGTGATAGCAATAAAAGTACAAAGCTTTTGGCTTACCTGCACAATGGCGAGGGGCAAGCTGAAGGTAAGATTTGAATTTACAATTTGTTACATTTGTTTTAAAAAATTCCAATCAAAGCAATAGTAAATCAGTCAATTTAAACTACAAAATAAGTATCTGTACAATCGATGATGTAAAATAAACTTTAAAAAAAAAATTATATTGTCAGCATTATTTTTGTTTTGTTTGAAGGACCTATTTAAAACGGAGATTGTTTCAAACGTGAGAAAGTTTATAACGAAAGTATTATTTACAGTTACATTACATTTGTGAAGGTTATGAAAAGGATTAATTTTTATAAATGAGCATTAGACACAAGCCGTTGAAATATAAAACAGCCCATATGTACTTAGTAAATGTTGCCATCGCACCAAATGAGTGGGGGTCAGGACGTTATCCCATGTCCATTACTCCCTGTCTTAACTAGATATAGAGATAGGGATAAGGGTAATTTAGGGTTAGGACAGTGCAATAGAATTCATGGTCTACTAAATATCTATAACGTAAATAACATAACTAGCGATAGAACAATGTGGTGGGACATAGTGGGACAAGACGACGCAAACAGCAGAGGCGTAGCGACGGGGCGGTGGGGGCGGGGGCGGGTTACATTTGTCCCCTGGCGCCGACCATAGGGGCGCCAAAATAAGCTCATTTTAGCTGCTATTTTGAATTATAAAAATAAAAATATATGTGGGGGGGGGGGGGGGCTCCTCCCGGAGGAGGGTTTGATAGTCGGCTCTACCCAGGGTATGGTTAGCAGTGTTTCTTCCAGACATCTATTCCGGGGGGGGGGTATTTGTAGATAAATGAAGTATGGATGCTTGAGAGTAATTTATTTGTTTCTTTTTGCAAGTTAAGCTAGGGATTATAGTTGAATATGTTTTGTATAATTTGAAAAATATTCCACGTCGTGGTTAAGATCTATTAATAGCATACGCTCATTATTCTTAATTTTTTGGTTTGATTTTTTTTGTTTAATTTAAATTGTTTCTAATTTAAAATTGATTAATGCCTTGAATCACTAGTAGGCCTACTTGATTGTTTTTACTTTTTGGAATATTGACACAAATTAAAGATAGTTTAAAATATGAAGTAAGTGAACTACTGAAAAGAGAGGAAACAAAAAAATAAACGTTAATTTTATTTTAGATAAAATACAAATGTTAGGCTCTAATACATTTTGTATCTTAGCTTCATGACAAACAATATCATGATTTTATATCTAAATCGTTTGCCCATAAAACTACACAAAAACACACACTAGTAACACTATTTTTGTTTGATTAAACGCAAACCTGTCGCAATCGATATTTCACTGTCAAAACCGAACAACAAACTTAGATCATTGATCATTTTCACACAAAAACACAAAACCAAGATCACCCCATATATAAAACTGTCACCAAAGAATACTTAACTATGCTAATAGCCACAAAACATCAAGCAAAGGGGTTTATCCTCTCATCGGGACAATGTAACTCTAAAATAGCCATTGCGAGGATCAAGTACTTGGGATTTGCCATCAGGATAATCCCATACACGGGATCTAACGTGGGCTGCTCAGTTCTGCTGAATGTTTTTAAAAATCGATTGACTAGATCGTATCACGTGACAATAGGGTCATTAAAGTTGTCTACAGTTGACAAACCGAAGGTATGTTTTGTTTAAAAACTTGCTACGTTTTTATGAAACTATTCTATTCTAAGGGGATATTATGTAGGCACAACAAAATAAATGATGTCTTTTAAAGTATAAACTGCACAGTGAACCATCCAACTATTAAGAAAAACACCAACAAAACAAAAAAACAAAAACAAACAATTTACGCAACAGTAAGAGGCTTTTCCAGTCAATTAGGCTATCAAAATACAAATGCTTGTGACATTTGTAAACATATATAGAAAAAAGGTTCTTTGGATATATTTATGAGAATATGACATACAATTATCAAATAATGAAAATTATTTATTTTCATGTTTTCAGCTTATCATGTAGGTTATTAATATAATTTTTTATTTTATTTTTTCTCTTTTTAGTAATTCGCTCTAAACGAAGAGTGACAACGCAACTTAAAATATTTGCTTTAAAACCTATTAGTAGCTTGAAATATCTAAAAGGCAATAATCTTCCTCTTGTTAGACCGCGGTCGATTAGGCAAAAAAATTACTCAGTCTCGAAAAAAATAGTTAGCCCTAATCAAATTGACAACCGAGCAATCATTGAGATTATTTTTGTTTTCCTCGCTTTTGTTATTGATTTTAATATTTTTAAAATTAAATTTAAATGACTAACATGATATGTGAAAATAGATTACACATTTCTTTTCTTGCATTATCACTGAGAAGAATTTATCTGAAAAAGCTGCATTAGAAATTGGTGAAAATTAAATTAAAGGGTTTGACACTTACTATAAACAACTAAGCAATCAATCAAAAAAACAAAAAACAAACAAACAAAAAAGAAAACAAACAACAGACATCTTGCTCTAAACAAAATCAAATTTTGCTTTTCAATTAAATGAATATAACGTCAATAATATTTATTCCTAACAAAATAACTGGGATGATTTGAGTGGAACAATTTAAAAGAATTAAGAACTAAGTTTTAATAGTAAACGAAAAAAAACAGTTTTTCTTTCTTTAGTTAAAAAAAAGTAAAAGCGTTGGTTTTCATAACAAGCAATAATACATTTTAAAACCAAAGCTATTCAAATTGAATCTTAAACGCTTGTCATTATTTAGTTGTTTTTTTTTAAACTAAGATATATTTTTTATCCCAACCACAAACTACATTTTACCCGTTAATTCCAGAACCATGTGGACACAGAAAAAACTATTGTCAGTGTTGTGCTGTCTGGTGATAGTCACATTCGTAGCGTGTGTGACCAATTATAGTCACATTTTTGGATACCTAGCGGGATTAACAAAAGGTTTGAAAAACACGAATATAATATTAACATAACAACTGGTTATTATTTTTAAAAAATTGATTGTCTTGATGCAATTATCCAATGCGTTATCTGCAGCTTAAGATGCTAGCCTCAAGCATTTTACATTGTATGTAAACCGTACTTTTAAACAAACTTATCTATTTTTACTTTGAGTTTCATGGACGTTTAAAATTATTTTCAACTACATAACCTCTTAGAAAACTATTAGTGTCAAATCAGATCTTCAATATCAGTATTATCAGCTGTATAAATTTAAAAAAAAAGTATATTAAGTTTCAACGGTAGTAAAGATAAAAATTGGTTTCAAACGTCCAAAACATAAATACATTGAAGCCTTTAAAATGTTCATCGATCTTATTTAATTTAAAACATTTATATGCATTGCCATTTAATATTTTTTCTCTTCAAAAGTTCTTGAAGGAAGTGATCGTATATCGAAAAATGATAGCATAATCAAAGTGAGTTTATTGTCCTCAAACGATAATCTCGTATCCCGACTTGAAGAGCTTATCTCCAACACAGTGGTGAAAAAATCAGAAGCATTCACGAACCCCTGCGACAAAACATCTGCAGGTTAGATATTGTTTTCAATTATACGTGCAGTGGTGGCATTTTATAAAGTTTAGGTAACTATGGCTGTGTATAAAAATATGAATATATCACTGAGACCTGTAAAATAAATTTATCATCACCGTAATATAAAAAGTAAAATGAATTTATAATTTAAATTTGAAATAGTAAATTAATTTGTTCAATAGAAAATAACTTCGAGTGATTTAGTTATAATCCTAAATTCAATGAGTGCTCATTTTTATTTTTAATTGGATGAATTAGTAATAATAAATGTTATATAAAATTATTCTTGAGTAAAATTGTACACAAAATATGATTTCATTTTACTAAAACTATTTGTTTTAAATTGTATGTAATTGCTAGAATTTAAGGCAATTATTAAATCTAATATGACTGTGTGCAATTTCAATACAGATTGTTTTTTCTGTTTTTACCATCAGCTTGTACAAGTTCGTGTCCAAAACCACTGAGCTCAAACCCTAAACAACGTCTGCTGGATATCCTATCGTCTGCCAACTTAACCCTCTCAAGCCGAGAGTTAGAGGATATTTTGTCAATGGCAGAATCGATACCGGAGAGTGACGTCATCATTCTATCAGCTAGCTCTTCCAATCATTACAACGAAATGCAGGCCATGTTTCAAAACCTCCACAGTGTCGTGTTCCCATTGGTTGAAAATCTCACGGTTGTTTTGTTTGATATTGGCTTGACGCGGGAACAGAGAATTAAAGTATTATTAGATTAGGGATTCATTTATTTTTAAAGAAAACTACAATATTAACGCACACATACTGAGTCAAGTTTATTCCGCACTAATATATTAAAATGTAGTAATCATACATATATCATATGAAGCTATAACTTTGTGAAATTTAGGATATTTTACGTTTGTTTGTAGTCTTTTTTTTAAATTTCTGCAAAATAAACAAAAATTATATTTGCTTCTATTGGTGAACACAACAAGTTGGGGTAAACATTATTAGACATTCTTATTTAAATATGTTAAATTAAATATGAATATTCTTTGCAAAATCATAATGTAATTTTATAAGTTGCCGTATATTGACCTATACATCTAATCGGTGATCTTCCAGGGCTAATATATAATTGATATTTCTAAGAATGATCTCTAGATTGTCCGGCCCTGTTGGCCAGCGAATATAATCATCTACTAAATACCACAATGTTTTAGCATAAATTTACATATTTAAACACGAAGAAGTATTTTAACAACCAGTTAAATATAGCTATAAAATAATGTAATAAGTGCAAGGCAATCTAAATTAAAGGTATAATTTGATTTATTTTATATATTTTTAAAATAATTTTTACATAATCATTAAAAAAAATGAATTACTTTTGATTAGACAGAAAAAAATTGCCGGTGTAAAGTTGTAAAGTTTCCTAGTGAAAAATTTCCCAGACATATGAAAAACAACCATTGTTATTCATGGAAACCAGTTATAATACGGGTAAGTAAAGATTCAGTTTGTAAATTGATACAAAACAAATTAAAGACTTTATGATTTAATTTTTTAATTAAAATAATCTGATAATATTGTATTTATAAATTATATATTAAGATAAAATGTGTATAGCATAGCATAGCATAGCATAGCACAGCACAGCACAACACAGCACAGCACAGCACAGCGTAGCACAGCGTAGCACAGCGTAGCACAGCGTAGCACAGCGTAGCACAGCGTAGCACAGCGTAGCACAGCACAGCGAAGCACAGCGTAGCACAGCACAGCGTAGCACATTGTAGCACAGCGTAGCACAGCGTAGCATAGCACAGCATAGCAAAGCATAGCACAGCGTAGCACAGCGTAGCACAGCGTAGCACAGCGTAGCACAGCGTAGCACAGCGTAGCACAGCACAGCGAAGCACAGCGTAGCACAGCACAGCGTAGCACATTGTAGCACAGCGTAGCACAGCGTAGCATAGCACAGCATAGCAAAGCATAGCACAGCGTAGCACAGCGTAGCACAGCGTAGCACAGCGTAGCACAGCTTAGCACAGCATAGTGAAACGTTGCATTGCGTTGCATTACGTTATACTACTTTGCTTTGCATTGCCTTGAATTTATTTTATTGTATTGTATTGTATTGTCTTGTATTATCACATTAGGCTACAATAGAAAAATCGAGGAAGCTGCTGCTCTACCAAGATGCTTCAGTTAGATGGACGAAAGGAATCGTGGATGGAATGTTCAGGGCAACAACAACGGGGATGCAAATCTTTCGCTACTTCGGTAGCTCGAGAATTCCTATACATACTCTAAAGCAGGTATCTTTTACAGATTCTTCTTTAGGCCTAACGATCCATTGTTCAGATGAGGTGGAGTTCATATGTTCCTTGACCTTGGCATATAAAGGGTTAATGTGGTCAGCACAATGCCCAGCCGCCTTTACTTTCCCTAACGTGAGTTAGGTACCCGTCATAGTTGGGTTGACTCAGTGACGTTCCACTAACGTACTATATTAGGAAGTGATATATATGAATAAATAAGAATACGATTCTTTATTTATTGGTTGACAGATAAATTAAAATCTATGCGATCCCTGCTTTAAATTAAGAAATGAATACCGTACATTGTAAAAATTTTCCACACTTGTCCAACTTACCATGTCAGCGCTGAATTACCAAAGAAAACAAAAATGTTCTGCAGGTATTACTCTAAGAAAAACATAATGAGTATTTCGATTTATAAAAACCACGCACAAATGTATTCAGTGGCATCAGCTACACATCTAACGTAAAGTGTTTCTTCTAGACTTTTTTCTCCGGGGGGGGGGGAGGCACTTGAAATATCCGGGGGGGGGGGGTGGACTAAAATTTTCGGGGGGGGGGCGGACACTGTTAAAAGTATATATTTTCTATATAAATTCCATTTCGCTCGGGGGGGGGTGGTAGACTTTATTCGGGGGGGGGGGGACGACGACGACGACAGAGCCCCCCCCCCCACGAAGAGATGCCTGGAAGAAACTCTGCTAACTTCTCCCCATTATTCCACATAGGACTGATGACATAGACCCAACAACATTTTGTTTAATATGGTAAGCTAGAAGGAGCTGGCTCACTCAGTTGTATTAAGATTTAATTCTGTTATTTACAATTTTTTTTTATTAAAACGAAGTCTTTTTTCAAAACGTCAGACATGAACTGATATGATTTTATTAACATTTTTGTTTTTGAAGCTTTAACATCGTCACATCCTGGCAATAATTCATAATTATATCAAAATTAATTATAACTAACAATGTAGTAATGGATTATGTATACAAATTACAATACTTTTCTCCGTCTGTTAAGGAATATAAGTTCAAATAAATTAATTAATAGCCTAACATAAATAGATGTAAAAAATGATAAATAATTCATTTAGCTACGGACCAGAATGTATGCCTTTTGTTGCAAGGCAAAATAAAACCTCATTTATTTAAATAAATTGCATATGTTTATTCTAATTGATCTCTTGGTACTAATAAATTGATGCATTGATGAATGTATCTTTTGTTATAACTATACTTCTATTTAAACATCTTATATTTTTCACCCTTTCTTTCGTTTCTTCCATCTCTAGGTCACTGAAAAATACACAAACAGCTTTGTTTGATTTTATATTTGTTAGATGTGTAAATAAAGTAATAAAATTGTATTTTAAATTCCACAAATCAAATATTTTTGTAACGGACAAAAAAAAATTTTTGTCATTTTTTCCAGACATTTGATTACTTTGGGGAAGAACCGTGTGCCTTCGACCCATTTCCTGAAGTAGCCGCTACTTTATCAATGTTTCGGAATGACGTCTTCAACAGACGAGCCATTCTAGAGCCGTGGGCCAAGTGTGCTCTGACGTCTGAATGTATGTGTCCAGTTGAGCCACAGTCTGTGTTGAGCTGTGGTAAACCTGTGGCAAACCACAGGTGTCACAGGTAAGTTACTCTACACAAAGGTGTTCTAGTGACATCTTACTAGTATACAGGTATGTTACTCTATACAAATGTGTTCTTGTTACATCATACTAGTGCACATGTAAGTTACTCTATACAAAGGTGTTCTAGTGACATCATACTAGTGCACAGGTAAGTGACTCTATACAAAGGTGTTCTAGTTACATCAAACTAGTGCACAGGTAAGTTACTCTATACAAAGGTGTTCTAGTTACATCAAACTAGTGCACAGGTAAGTTACTCTATACAAAGGTGTTCTAGTTACATCAAACTAGTGCCAAGGTAAGTTACTCTATACAAAGGTGATCTAGTTACATCAAACTATTGCACAGGTAAGTTACTCTATACAAAGGTGATCTAGTTACATCAAACTAGTGCACAGGTAAGTTACTCTATACAAAGGTGTTCTAGTTACATTATACTAGTGCCCAGGTAAGTTACTCTATACAAATGGTGTTCTAGTTACATCATACTAGTGCACAGGGAAGTTACTCTATACAAAAGGTGATCTAGTTACATCAAACTAGTGCACAGGTAAGTTACTCTATACAAAGGTGATCTAGTTACATCAAACTAGTGCCCAGATAAGTTACTCTACACAAATGGTGTTCTAGTTACATTATACTAGTGCGCAGGTAAGTTACTCTATACAAATGTGTTCTTCAATATATTTTGTGCCTGAGAGGATTTAGAAAATTTTATAAAGTTTAAAATCTATACAAGTAAAAAAAAGCTAAAAGTATAATGATATAATTTAAACTTTTACCTTCGATTTGTATTATTAAAATGCATGTTTTCATGTTTCTTTTTCATTAATATTACCTAAGTAATAAAAAAAACAATAATTTATGACAACAAAAGTTTCAAATGAAACAAACTTTAGTTCAACCGTTTAATAATGTGTGTGTTTTTTTAAAAAATGCTTATGTAAAAATAAAAAAAAAACACATACAATTTTATGTAGCTATAAAATGTTTTCCTACTTGTATTTAAAGAAAAAATTGGATGTATTTTTAAAATATTTGTTTCTCTTGTTTACGTCTCAATCTCAGGTTCGACCAGTCAGCGCTAGGGATGATAACTGCAAAGATTTTCAGCAACGATATTCACCGCGTTATCGCCCCTGATCTTGATCAAAACGTACAGATAAAACGGGAAGACGTCGCGCCAAATTATTTTAATAAATAACTTATTTTAATGTAAATTTGACGCAGTTGAACATTATAGCTATGTTGATGGGTCATTCATTTATAATATCCCCAAACATTTACATTTCCTACCTCTCGCCAATAAACACCATTACTATAAACAAAACACCCGCCTCCCTCCATCGAAATGGGTGTCGTAATATCATCATATTACTTTCATATATTCCTTCAAGTGTGATAATTTTAAAATCTTACTTATTTATATTTATTTTGAAGTACAAATAATAAATAATACAATATATCGTTTAAGCTCTGTATTGGGAATATTTTAAAACACAAGTACAGAGATTTAAATATACATGTTTTGTATGTTAGACAAATAATATTTTCTGTTCGCTATAACTTACAACAATTATCTTATTTTTCTTTTTTTTTTCCCAAAACACAAAACGTAAAAGAATTGATGCACTCCGTTTTAATTTTATATATCAAATTTCGTCAACGATATGCAAGTTATCGTGTTCACAGATAGACAGACACACAGACAGGCAAATAGACAGACAGACATGCAGACAGAGTCCCTCCCAACACTAAAATTCAGAACGAAGAAGAGGATTTTCCCAAGCCTATGTCAGGTGCCCATGTGTAGTCATTGAAATCTGGGATTACAATAACTGGGGAAAAACACACTGAATCCATAAGGACTCGAACCCATTACATTGAAATAAGAGAGCTTCAATAATCGGATAAACCTCATGACCATAGTCACTTTTCTATTGATAGTAACGGCAGTTCGTGCACATACCATATAGTAAACAAGCCAACTCACTGAAGGTAAAGCTATTTACCAACACAGTGCTGACGACTGGCAAACTTGCAGCTTGTTTCCATCACTACAAAAAAATATTTGATCGTCATCTTTCTTGTGTTTTTTTCTCTCTGATCATTCACTCTTTTCGTGCTGTCCATATCAAGCTTAGATACTATAGCAGCTTTTTGACACGTTCTCCATTTTGTTGTAAAACTCTGCATTGCATTTTACCAGTTCATTAGGTGTTATATCTCGAGCCTGAAATAAATAATACCAATGTATAGTGTTTTGCTACAATGGAAGAATTAATTTTATATTAAAAGTAATACTTTAATACTATTAATATTACTAGAAATTCCATAAGAAAGGAGAGGCATGATCAGATGCGTAGCGAGGGGGGGGGGGTACATATGTCCCCGGGCGCCGACCCTAGGGGCGCCAAAATGGGTTGGAAAAAAAAAACTATTGGATCTCTCCTCCCACCCCCACCTCGATCGGCTACATGTCGGGGTGTGTGATTACAGAGTGAGACCTAAGAACCCGTGAACGACGTTACACGGTCGAGACGCGGTATCAGATTTATCGAAAGTTATCATTGCTTATACATTGGCATTTTTTTTTCTATGAACTCTTCACGGAGAAACCTACATTTTAACATGAGACTCTAACGAACATGACTGTGTATCAGAATCATCATAAGTTTATCGTTGCTTATACATTGCCATTTCTATGTACTCTTTATGGAGAAACCTACGTGTTAAAATGAGACTAACGAACCCGGCTACACCTACGTGTTAAAGTGAGACTCTAACGAACCCGACTACACCTACGTGTTAAAATGAGACTCTAACGAACCCGACTACACCTACGTGTTAAAATGAGACTCTAACGAACCCGACTACACTTACGTGTTAAAATGAGACTCTAACGAACCCGACTACACCTACGTGTTAAAATGAGACTAACAAACCCGACTACACCTACGTGTTAAAGTGAGACTCTAACGAACCCGACTACACCTACGTGTTAAAATGAGACTAACGAACCCGACTACACCTACGTGTTAAAGTGGAGACGTTAACAAACCAGAGACGGGAAACCTGCGTGTTGAAGTTGAGATATGGTGTGCTGTGGCGACGGAGGACCGACAACTGTGTCGACAACTGTGACCTGTGTCGTGACCACTCAAGTCCTGAGAAGTGACTGCTGCGTACAATCTCTGTTTGAAAACCGGACTATGTGTTATTCTAGTTCATAATAAATTTTGATGTTGGACATAATGAATTATTAGTGTTTTATTTCGCTATTATCTACCGCAGACACTCAAGAAGTAACTTGCAGGTAATAAGCAACATATCTAACAGTGGAGTGGTAGGTTCTGAAAAAGACTTAATCATATTTTTTTAAATAACAAGCAGCACTGCTACTAACTAGATCCATATGAATTAAATAATTGTGAGTTGAAGAAAGGAAAAATATATAAATAAACAGAAATAAATAAATATGTTTGAAAATAAAGCTTTAAATAAGTTTACCAATCAATTTAAAGCTTAAATGTAATAATAAATTAAAGCTGTTAATGAATAATTAGGCCTATCTACCTCAACATGCTATATGGTGCTTTTGTGATGCAACTAACACTTCGTTTTAGTTTTAACACTGGAAATTTGAGCTGACATTTTTTTTTAATAGTGAATTTGAATACATTAGTAATTTTTCATAGGCCCTATCTAGAATATAATACACACAAAAACTAAACATTGTAATTTAATTGGCCAAATGTCATTATACGAGTGAAAAATAAAATTTAATATAGTAGGGCCTACTAAATTTGACATGTGATAGCTATATGATATACTAAACGTGAGTATAATAGTAAATTTAATTAGCTTAATATTGAAGTAGCCTATTTAATATACAACAGGCAATAAGAATGCGTGTGTAGACCTACTCTTATTAAAATATTAATAATAATTTTTTAGGCCCTGTCTGTAGGTTAATTTTTTAACTTAGTCTATTACAAAATTCTATTTGTGTAGGCCTTCGTCTATTAGTAATTACTATTACTATTCAACTAAATTAATCAGTAAATAGAATTAATGGTTGCTATCAATCATTCATTAATACTTAAGTAAAGTTACTTTGGTTGAAATTAAAATAATAGTAAGAAGATTAGATGCTTCAATCAGGCTACCACTATACATAATATTCTATATACTAGAATGAGGCTAATTAATAATTTATTAAGGGCATGACCTCAATTAATAAGTAATGCAAAACCATGAGTAAATTTGTAAAATTTTTACCTTAATAATTAATATTCGCCCAAACAAAGTACCCAAGTTGGATTTAAAACACAATTAAAGAAATATTAAACTAGAGTTCTAGATCCATCTGATTATCTGAGTATCTCGATTATCAATCAGTGTTAAAAGGAATTATAGAGCTTCTTCATCCTATATTTATACAAATCAACTAGACGGAAATGAGGCTTGCATTTTAAATTAAATGCCAATTAAATTTTGAGTTAGAATCACCCGTAATTAATGCCAAATGGCCTCTTGTCGAGCATCGTTTGAAATACTTACAACATTCCAATAACGATGATATAGAGATGTTGCGCAGCATTGACCAAGTAAATGAGCACTCAATGGCACGGAAGTCATTCAAATTAAAAGTACCATTGGCCTGTGGTGAAGAAAAAATATCAAAGTACCTTAACAATCAGAAATGAATTATTACGTTTCCATTTTCTGCAATTCCTACAAATGAATTATAATAAAATATTACAGTTTATTCGGCAAAATACACAATGTACCTGACAACTAGCGTTAGTCGGTCGTTTTGGCGTCAGTTTGATTTTTATGGAGAGTGCTCCACTAGAAATCCACTTGTAAATAATAATTACAACCACATATCTCGCGAATTTTTCTGTTATTCTGAGGCAGAGTATACACTTCCTTAGCGTCTCGCATTAAAACAATTGCGAGAATTTGCGAGATAAACAGTTTTTTCAATTGGCGTAGATAGGAAACTTAAAATAAAATAAACGTAAAAAAGGAGCGCAACTTTAGAACAGACTAGTTTGCTTGTTGTAAATATAGAGGTTTAACGTGACGTCACGCTTAAGTCCATTTTTGGGTCTTCACATCATTCAAAATGGTGATCAGCTGTGTGAAAGGTGGTCCTACTCGAAGTGGAAATTCTATAGAATTACTTTAAGTCGACTGCAAAAAATTATATGACACCATTCGGAAAGAGATCGACAGCTATCAGAGCGCAAACGAAATCAATTTACGGCGATTATTTATTATTACCACAGTAGTACTAGATCTATAATAAAATTTAAAATTTAATTAGCCTTCACAAATACTAAGAGACAAAAAGTAATAATATTAATAAAACAAGCATCTGATGGGTTCGAAACCGCACCTTCCGGCCAGTGGCGGAACTAGAAAAAAAGGGCTCCCCCGCAAAGAAAAGATTAGGGCCCCCTATATATATATATTTATATAAATATATATATAAATATGTATGTATATATATATATATATATATATATATATATATATATATATATATATATATATATATATATATATATATATATATTTATATATATATATTTATTTATTTATAAATATATCCTGAGTAATTTAGTCTACTTCAGGGGTCGGCAACCTGCGGCTCGCGAGCCGCATGCGGCTCTTTTGATGTCAAGATGCGGCTCTTCAGTTCCATGCAAACATATTAATACTTATTTTAATTTATTTTTAAAACTCATAAAAATATTAGTCTGCAATACTCGGTAATTAAAGATATAGATCTAATGACAATGTAAAGTTTCTAATTTCGAGCAGAGCTTGCTAAACTACTTTAATATGTTTTGTGCGAAACATTTGTATGTTTTTATATGAATAAATAATATTTCATATTTTAAGCTATTTATTTTAAATGTATATATATATATATATATATATATATATATATATATATATATATATATATATATATATATATATATATATATGTACCTAATCAAGTATCATAATATTGAAATAAAAATGTTGGTGGTTCTTTAAAGACTGTGAAATGTGGTAAATTGTAACTTTTGGCTCTTCCGTCCCAAAAGGTTGCCGACCCCTGGTCTACTTCATTTCAATAAATAACCATTCTGAGAGAACAAACCAGAAAAAATTTAGTCCAAACTCATCTAGCTATACCGAACCTTCATTTAAATGCTGGTCAAAAATATATAAAGGCGTTAGCTTGATTCGTGAATGGTTTCTCGCGTTATGTTTTTTTTTCATTTTTGGCTTTTAT